AAAAAACGCTGTTCCTTCGATCACACATTAAAACGGCGAAAGTTAAAAGATGCCTCGTTGTATCCAAATCATTTTTGAAAGAGAGAATGTTGACAAACAATTCACTAAGTTAATCTCGTGTCATATTACATGAAAGAGAAAAAATGCAACGCATTGTGACGAAAGCTAAATATAATATTTTTCGGAGTCAAATAAAAACATATTTACTTTCAGAGCAAAAATGAGAAGAATAAAAACTGAGAGTTAAAATATAACATATCGCTTGTTTGTTTTGTCGCTAACTGAAATTATATTCTGTTTTAGTTCTCAGTTCTGTATGTGCTCTTTTAACTCTCAGTTTTTTTCTATCGTATTTTTCATTTAAAATACATTCTTATGCTTTTTTTCCGAAAAGAATTTTTATAACTTGTTTTGGGTTTCAGGCTCTCATTTGTAATGGATGTGATTCATCATCAGTTGACCACCTTCTGAAATTTTTAAAACCATTTTATGGCGATGAGATATATATCAAATGAATTTCACGATGTTTTTGCCTTCAGTTCATTGTATAATGCAACGCAATGATTTTCCAAAAATTCAATTTTCTCCGTTTGTTTGGCCAATTGACGTTGAAGTTTTACAATTCGATCGATTAGTGCTTTCTTTGATGGTTCTTGTATATCGTTTTGTGTGATCCTATTACTGGAAGTTGATTGTTCGGTATGTCGTGTCTCTCCGTCCGTACCAAATCCGCTATCGGCCGATGGTGACGATTCATTTGACCGTTTGCGCAATGTTACCAATTCACGATTCAATTCCTTTACAACTTGAGAATGTTTATTTTTAGACGCTTCTAAATCACCAATTATATTATCCAATTTATTTTGCAATGTTTCCGAATGATTTTTCTCATCCGCCAAAATGCGATTAAACAATTTAATTTCTTCACTATGCTTAAGTTTTGCCTTGGTTAGTTCATCTTCCATGTCTTTGACTAATTTGACTTTTTTCGCGTGCTCTTTGTTTAACCGTTCATTGTCTAACATTAGTGCCGACGACTTTGAATTGGCTAAAATCAATTTATTCTCCACTAGTACGCATTTTTCAGTAAAATCCTTTAACAGCATTAAAAATTCATCTTCTTTCTTTCGCAATGTGGCCATCTCGTCGGATTGCCTAGGGTTAATCACAAAGAAAAGAATGAAAATAATGGAAATTAATCAACAAATTGTAATGGAAACATATAATGAAAATCAAATATGTATAGTTTAAGAGCAAAGTAACCGTCACACATTTGCAACAACATTGCTTTGATTTGAGATTTGGTAGTAGCGTTAAGAATCGAGTTCTGTTGTGGAAGAACAGAACTACTACTACTAACAAATCTCAATTTTCGTCAGCAAAGTGTTTGCTAACGCAGCTTCGTTCAATTCATTTGCAAATTGTTTTTGATTTATGTGTGTATATGTGTGATCAAACCCTTACTATTTTCTTACATACTAAATAGATCTTACATACTAAATTCGTCGGATTGCTCTTTGTAACATTCATCGATGTACTTTAATTTATTTATTGATTTGATTAAACTCTCATTTTCTGCTCGTTGACTAGTTAAATTATTTTCGCTCAACTCAAGTTTGGATTGGAGATCTTCAATAGAGATCTTCATTTCCTCCATCGATGATTCCATTTCATTGAGTTTTTCCAAGAGTTTTGCCGACTTTTCCTTTTCAAGCTCGGCATCTTTGTTAAGATTTTCATTTTTCTCAAAAACTGTCGTAAATTCTGATCTTAAATCACTTAAACATTTCTGTAATTGCACTATATTTCGGTCTTTTCCATCAATCATATGTTTCAACATAATCATTTGAGCGCCTTGTTCTTGTTCGCTCTTTTTTTCCGTATCGATTTGTTGCTGACGTTGTTCATTCAGTTGATTCAATTGTTCTGTCGCATCGTTCAGTTTCTTTTCCAATTCTAATTTCAATGCTTTTTCTTGCGTTAAATTTCGTTGATTCCACTTAAGTTTGGTTTCGCACGTTTGCAAATCATATTTTAAATTTTCATTTTCTCGAATACATTCTCGCATCTCTTTGTGCGCTTTATCCCGTTCACCACATACAAATTTCAATCGATTGTTCAGTGCTTCGATTTCTTTTTGTGAATCTCGTAGCTTTCGTGCTGACAAATCTTTGGCTGCATTTGCATCGATGATGTTCTTTTCAAGCATTACATACCGCACCACGGCCTGTTCTTTTTCCTTTTTCCCTGTTTCATATTCACGTCGCAATGACCATTTTTCAGCTTCGAGCAGTGAAAGTTCTTTCTTCTGTACTTCAATCACTCCTTCATTGTGTCGTAATAGACTTTTTATGTTGCCATATTGTTCTTTTGTTTTATCAAGTGCTTCTTTCAACCGTGCATTCTCGGCTAATAAATTATCCTCAATACTTGTTTCTGTTGCTTCATACGTAAATTCATTCAGATTTTCGCCATCCGGTTGTTGTGACGGTGTAATTTCAATCGATGGCACCACAGCGATTTCACTTCGAATCTCATCGAAGCCATTGAGCTGCTGATATCCATCAATTTCGTCTGTTGTTTTAACATCTGTCTCATTTTGTTCATCACCGATTTGAACTTCACTACTCATTTTCTATTGAAGTAGAAAAAAAAGAAAAAAAATTGAAAATATTGGAATTCAATAATGAATATAAAGCTCACAAAACGTTGTATGGTTGAATGGAAACTTTCCCCGTTTGCAGTTCTTTGGTAAATTGACAAAAGACCATCTGCCATCCAAATAGCACGTAGTGCGCATGTCTTCAAAACCATCAGAATGCCAATGTGACAATGTTCAATATTTTTGTTTTATTTGAATTTAGGAATTCAATTCCACCAACCACAACCGTTGCAAATTTACGAGCAAAACAAAAGGCAACCGAAGGAAAAATTTGTGTGGATGTTGGATTTTGGGGCGGAATCATACCAGGTTTGTTTCAATATTGAATGTAACAACCTTCAAATGAATTTTATTATTAATATCGATACTACGAATCAAATAATCGTATAAATTCTGAATCTCTTCGGGAGACAATTGTGCAAAAAAACCGGCCAAATGGTAGCAAGAATCGTATTCTGGTTAACAACAAGAATGTAGATGGGCTTAAATCCATCTTGAATTCCATTGCGGCGAATGAGGATCAGGTGACACGAAGTGGAACATTTTCGGGGGTTTTCGCACAATTTTCTCCCGAAAAGATTCAGAATTTATACGATTATTTGATTA